GCAGATGCACATTTATACATGAAATATTTCAAGAAGCTGAGCCAATAAACAGCTCTGGGGCCCTGGAAGGCGAGGTAGGAGGGATCTTAAACTCTTGTACAGCTTTTGAGTGCTTTGTGTTGACTATTCCAAAGGAAAAATATTTTAATGCAAATCAGAGATGGTCACCTTCTGTTTAAAAAACTCTTTTAAAATAAGACTCGCTAAATTTCTCCTAATCAGTTCTAGAGGAGGAGATGGTATCTTGGATCCATGGGTGTTGGCATGGGGGATCCTGCCCTAGCTGTGTCACCCCCCATGCAAGTCACCGCACCTCCCAGGAGGATAACCAACCATCACAGTTTACTTGGAACCTTCCTCGTGTTGGCCCTGAAAGTCCTGTGTCCCAGGCACCCAGATGGTTGGTCGCAGGACCTCCAGGCCCAGAGTTTTTATTCGCTGAATTGTACAGAGACGGCAGGCGTGCATATGAGGGTTAGAAAAATTGACAAACTCTTCAGATGCCTTCCAGAGTGGCGGAGCAGAAAGTAGGATCCTTTCCATCACCTATGTCTCCCGCCCAGGAGGCCAGCCCAGGGATACCATGGTGCTCAGAGAGGCTATATCACACAGCACACATGGGGCCTTCATAGGCACCCCTAGAAACAGAGAGACACCCCTGCAGACAGACACACACACCTAGAGATACTCCCAGACAGATAGATCCATGGACACACAAAGAAACACAAAGAAATACAGACACACAGAGACACCGCACAGTCAGACACCTCCACAGACAGACACTCATGCACCGAGAGACACACCCAGACAGACTCACAGACACAGAGACAGAAAGACACACAGAGTAACAGAGAAACACACAGAGACCCATACGGACGTAGAGACAACACAGAAAGACACATAAACACTCGGTAAGCCCTCTTTCTGAACCTTCCTTGGACAAACCCTACTTCTTGCCTCTCATCCTCTCTGCCCCTAATAAACATTTATAAAGCACCCACTGTGTACGGGGCCCTGTTCTAGGCATTAGGGTCACAGAAGGATCAAAACAGAGGCCCCTGACCCTGGGGGGAGGTGGACACTCTCCGGGGGACTGTCAGAGCACAGGATATGTGGAATAAGAGGGAGGAGGACTAGGTGGGCAGGGGGATTGCAGGACGAGGGGGTGGGGGGGGCTTTTGACTAAAGGCCCAAAGGGGTGAGTGAGGGGGCTGTGTGGACATGCGAGAAGAGCATTCCAGGCAGAGGGGACAGCCACTCCCCACCTTCCCCCTCCCACCCCTTCCTCCAGCACAGACTCAGGCCATTTGGAGGGGGAGGGGTGGGAGGGGGCAATGTGGGGAGAGTAGTCCCTCCAGGTATCTGTCCCCCAGCTGGGGCCTGGTCATCTTCCATTTCACCTGGATCCAGGCTTATCAGCCTCTTTCATCCTACAGCCTTGCCTCCGTGAAGGTCTGGAGGGGAACAGGGAGAGGCAAGGAACTCCCCTTTACTCACTCAAGACTGTCACCCTAGCCTAGGGTCCCCTTGCCCCCAGCCTGACACCCGCACTGGACTGTCCAGCTTAGAAACAGCTCCATCTCCCCACTTCGCCCAACCAAGCCCTGGCCTCCCTGATTCCTCCAGACCCTGGCAATTTTACCTTTAAATCCCTCCTTTGACTCCAGTCTGCAGCCCCAGACCAGGTCCCAGCCATCCCCACTGTCCACTCATTTTAAATTGATTGTGTTTAATTTTAAATCTGATCGTGCCTCTCTAGAGAGGGCCTTTAGCGTCCGGCCCCACTCAGTGGCATGTCCTGTCCTCACTCAGTTTCAGACCCTAACTCAGCTTAATCCCCAACCACTGATCTCTCAGAGGTCATCTCCTCCAGGAAGCCTGTCCTGAACACCCCAAGCCCACAGACTGGGGTGGGGGGCGGGGATCAGGAGGGCATGCAGAAGCCAAGAAGCAGCTCAACTGCACACAGTGCAGCTGCATGGCTCCTGACAGGCATCTGATCCCTTCCTCCAGTCTCCCTGCTTTTACTCATGAAGCACCCCCCCACTGAAATCTCTCCCTGACCCTGGCCCTGGCCCACCCCACCCTCTTTGGAGGGCCCTGTCCACTTCTCCAAGGATCTGCCACTTCCCCCTGACCATTCCAAGGCGGGGCAGGGCAGGGGGGTCTCCCTGTGACTTTTCATACGAAAAACTGCCGTTTTCTGAGCCACCCCAGGTATAAGGCATGTGATACATGACAGTCCCTAGTGGGAACAACTGAGACAAGTGACTTTGTTTGCCTTCTCAGATGTGCAATGGAGCTCTCCGAGGGAGGAGGAGAGGTGGGCTGGGGTGGGCCCTTTGGAGGGGACTGAGGCCTGAGGGAGAAGGCTGTAGCATTTGAAGAGAAAGAAAAGTGGGGAGTCCGTGCAGGTGGGACAGCAAATGCAAGGCCAGGAAGCCTGGATTGAAAGGACCAGATCACTACGCTTGCAACAGAGGTCTCTGTCTCCTCCCGCTTCCAAAGTGTGGAAATCAAATCTCAGTGAGGTGAAGCAACTTGCCTAGGGCCCCACAGCCCAGCAAACCCAGACTTCCCCCACCACCTCAGGATCTGCTTCAGAAAGAGGCTTATTATTGTCCAAAGGTGAAGCCACTTGTCTAGATGACACGGGTTGGTCAGCGGCTCGGGAACCCCCTTTCCTTCAGCTACTAACAACTGGACCCTGAGTTCCCCAGGTGAGCCCCAGGTGCGCAGAGACGACCTCTGCCTCATCCAGGATTGTCCTCCATTCATGGTGCGCGCTGGCTCCAAGCCCCTGCGCGCTGCTTATCCCAGGACACTTTCGGTTCCAGCCGCCAAGAGAGGACCAGCACCCTACCCTGCTGCCCTCCGCTACGCGGGAACCGCGGCTGCGCCACCACCCAAGCTGGCCTATCTCCCCATCTCTGTCGCCTGACCCCTGCACCCCACCAAACCGCAGGCTTTGCTGGGATGCCCTCTACGCCTCCTAGCCTCTAGAATGACTCCTAGGGCCCCCAACTCTGCAGTTAACCCCTGCGCGCACCTCAGCCCCACGAATCACGAACTGGGCCGGCGTGGCCAGCGATCTGGGGCAAGTGCTCAGGTTCGTGGCACTGGGGGCGGCCCCTGAGGCCTGAGGCGCTGTTCCCGCCTCTCCCGCAAAGCCCAGCGGTGCGCGCCAGCGGATCAGGGCGCCGGGGGAGTGTTGGCAGATGCGCGGCTCAGAGTCGGGCCAGAAAAAGGGACCCCGGACGGGGCTGGGAGCCCGTGTAGCTAACAGAGGAAAAGGGGGCAGACTGAGCGCGCAGAAGACTGCGCTGGATTCAAAGACCAGAGGTAAGGTTCTGGGAAGATATCCGCAGCTGGATCGCGCCCAAGCGCGCTTCGGGGCGGGGCCCGATGGCGCGGGCCGGGGTCCGGGAAGCGGCCTATTACGGGAGGGAGCGAGAGTCACCAGGCCCCCGTATCCTGCTGGGCCCCGCCCCCAGCCCAG